CGCCGATCCCGCGGAAAGATCTTTTGTTGAATTCCATGGGAAAGTCAACTATCTTTTCCGCGTTGGATCTGAAGGATGGCTACTATCAGGTTCTCATGAGAGATACCGATGTAGCCAAAACGGCAGTAAGCACCCCAAGCGGTATGCTGTGGGAGTGGCTTGTGATGCCACAAGGGTTGAAAAATGCTCCGGAAACATTCAACCGAGTGGTGGCTCACGTGATGCGTCAGCACCGTGACTACGCACCCCATTACTTTGAAGATATATTCGTGCATAGTAGGTCGGAGGAAGGGCTGAGCGCGATAGAGTCGCACAAGTGCCATCTAGACGCTGTGTTGCAGACTCTGGGTGACGCTTAATTGTACGTAAACTTGCAAAAGTGCGTAAAATAGGGGTCCCCGAGATACCTTTACTGGGCTGCATCGTAGGTGCACACGGTGTACGAGCAGACCCAGAAAAGGTTAAGGATGTACAGGAATGGCCAGTCACACGACATGTGAAGGATCTGCGCCAATTCCTTGGGATTGCTACTTACTTGCATAAGTACAGCAAGAATTATGCGGAGCAGACTAAGCCATTGTCTGATCTTTTGAAAAAGGATACAGAATGGACTTGGTCAAAGGAGCAAGAAAATGCGTTCACATCAGTGAAGCAATCTCTTGTAGAAGCACCGGTCTTGGCATTGCCAGACGCGGATAAGCCCTTTAGCGTCGTCTGCGATGCAAGCAATTTTGTAATCGGCAGCGCGCTCATGCAGAAGGATGACAACGGCGTTGACCGTGTCATTTCGTATCAGTCTTGGCTTTTAAAAGCCGTAGAGCTGAATTACCTTGTGCATGACAAGGAGCTACTTTCAATTAAGTATGCCCTTGTAAAGTTTCGGATGCACCTCTTGGGAACCGAACCTTTTGTGGTTTATACGGATCACGCATCACTGCGGACCGCTATAAATTCACCGCACCTCTCGCCGAGAATGGCGAGATGGCTAACATTCTTCTCTGAATTTAATTTCAAAGTTGAATATAAGCCGGGTAAGTCGAATGTCTTGGCTGACGCGTTATCGCGCAGACCAGACTTAGAGGCAAGACACCAGGATAGTGTGTCTCGTGCGAAAGCACAAGTTGAGTCGTCAACATTGGCAGCCATGAAGGTCTACCATGTGACGAGCTCAATGGCCTCCGATATCAAGGAGTGTTACAGTCAGGACGAACATTGTCGCCTGCTGTTGGATCATTTTGGTGGACGAAAGGTTACCCTTCCGTCGCACCTCAAAGCGAAGTTAAATCGCTTTAGTTACAGTGATGGCCTATTATGGCATCAACTGTCACCCTGTGATCCCTTGAGAATCTATGTCCCTCATGACACAGATCTCAAGCTGATGATACTTCACGAGTGCCATGATGCGCCATCTAGTGGGCATCTGGGCCGTGAAAAGACATTCTTACGAGTTTCAGAGGAATTTTGGTGGCCCCACCTATATCGGTGGGTGGCCAACTATATTCGCTCTTGTGAAGAGTGTCAGCGCATAAAGCCTGCACCTTCAAACAGTGCGCCACTGAAGCCACTGCCCTTTCCAACTGAATGTTGGAAGTCGTTCAGTTTGGACTTCATGTTTGGCTTACCGCCTGGCCATAAAGGCAGGACGGGGCTCGTCGTCTTTGTCGACAGACTGAGCAAGATGGTGCATTTGGCACCATGTAGCACCAAGATCTCAGGAAAAGAGGCTGCCCTCTTGTTCCTGGATCACGTGTATCGACTACACGGGATGCCCGAGTCCATTATATCGGACCGGGATCCGCGTTTTACGTCGGGTTTTGGCGACATGTGTTCGAGCTGCTGGGTAGCAAGCTACAAATGTCAACCGCTGACCATCCCCAGACCGATGGCCAAACAGAACGGGCCAATCGAGTCGTGGCGGATGTGTTGCGTACAATAGCGACTCCCAAAGAATGGACCAAGCAATTGCCATTCGTGGAATTTGCTATTAATAACAGTGTATACGCCAGTACGGGTGAATCACCGTTTTAAATTAACGGACTGCGTCATCCTCGAACGCCAGTCTCGTTTGTACGCAGCCCGAGTCTTAGTGGGGGAGGGCCCCTCACTTCGCTCGGTGCAAATGCCAAAAAGGGCCAAGGTTGCCCTAGTGACACTGCTAATTTAGCAGTGGTCACGTCACCTATAGGTGTCACAGAGGAGGCACGGCAAGAAATGCCAGCGCTCCTTGAGGATGACACTATAGTGTTATCAACAGCGTCGACCCATGCACGACCTCTTGGAGGCGTCATAGGCGAGCTGGATGCAAAAAGCGTGAGCGACGCTCAGCACTTTGTGGATAAGCGATTAGACATCACACGTAAAGTCCGTGACGCGATGGCAAGCGCACAGGACAAGCAAAAACAATATGCGGACCAGCATGTTTGCAAAAACAATGAGCACTTTAGTGTTGGGAACAAAGTGCTATTAAGTACTGCTACCCCACCTAATAATGCAATCTATGTACTACCTGGTGGTACTACTAAGCTATTGCCCCGATTCATTGGGCCCTTTACGGTGGTCGAGGAGTTTGGAGACCTATATTATAGGCTCACTCTCCCACCGTATATGAAGGTGCACCCCGTATTTTACGTGGGTCGTCTGAAACGGTATGTAGATCCAGAAGAGATCACATATCCACATCGGTCTAACGAGACCGATGGTGACGTCGACTGTGAGTCGAGCGTCGCGACCGATCCGGCGAAGAGGAAGCCGAGAGGCTCCCCGTGTATGAACGAGGCGATAGAGGACTCGGTGATCGAGGAGGACTCCGCGCTTGACGCGGGTCTATCATCACCAATCGCTCTAAGATGTCCAAGCGGGTCTTCAGGCGGTCATACCCCTGACGATCCCTCGCCCTCACATCGTGCAGATCCGAGGTCAGTCGCGAGACTTGACTCTCGAGATCTGTCACCTGCCTCTTCAGCGCAGCAGACTCAGCCTGCGACTGAACAGCAGCAGGGTAGGCAGCCGCGAGTAGGTGGGCGTAATCGCCACTCCTATCGGGCGCCACCGGTGTTGGTGGACACTGAAGGGAATACGCGCTTCCTTGTTGGAAGGCTGTTGCCCCACCGTTTTGTGAAGCGAAAGCTCCAAATCCTTGTCCAGTGGAAGGGTTACCCAACGAGCTTTGACTCGTGGGAGCTTGTGGACGCTTTGCGCGTTGAAGTGCCTGGGCTGGTGGCTGCTTATGTGAAGCAGCACTAGCTGTCGTCTTTCTGCTAGGTCCGGAAGGACTAGCAGAAGAAGCGTGGCGAGAATTAATTGGGGGTCGCTTACCGCCCATAATTTCATGCGCACGCTTCATGGCGAAGCTGATTCGCTGCGACCGTTGTTTCGTTGCATCTTCATGCAAGGTAACACGGCGCCGAAGTTCAGCTTCATAGTCGTCGGCTGTTTCGTTAGAACGCAGCACGACTGGAATTGGGAAAAAACGACCAAGTGCTTTGCCCTGCTTTTTCCACAAAGGAAAGACGCTATAGAATCTATGAGCGTCTATAGTGGCACGCTGCAAAAGCGCTAGACCCATCCGAGTTCATCCACTCAGATGGAGGTGGCATTGGTGGCAAGCCACAACTCACGTAGCCGCCCTCGCGACGGCGGGCTAGTGAGGCCGAAGGTGTACTTGGTGGAGCTTTCAGCTCACACTCACCTGAGTCCGACTCTCCATTATGGATTGTCAAGACATCAGCTTGAGGAGTCACATCTGACTGAGTCGCGACTACTTCTTTCGAAGTAGCGTGCTCAGTCTTAGTCTCTGCGCTCGTAGGCGCAGACGACGGGGTTTTGCCTTCGCTTGTAGGAAGCATAGATGCTTCCTCAAGGACGGGTGCCTCAAATGATGGAGACATATGTCCCATCAATGCACTATGCTCATCTCCACTTTGGGGTGATGGCAATGGCGTAGTCTCATTGTAATCTACGATGAGAGATGGATCTTCATCCACATTATAGTGAGATGGAAGATTCACACTCAGTGCCTGAAGCACTTTGCGACGGATGCGATAAAGCGCGGCGCGTGCGCTTAGTGCTGGACTGCATGGGTGCCTTTGCAGGCGAACCATCAGCCTTACCACGTTTCGGTGGAATGAGAATTGAGCAGACTAAAGCGGCGCGTTTATAACGGCTCGCCAGTCTCTCTGTCTCATAGGCGATGTTTTACAAGATGTAAAAATCGTTTTAAACGGGGGATGGTGTAACAGGGCATCTAGTTACACGTAAACATTAAGTAATATACTTAATGTTTGGTCTAAAAGTATCCATGATTACTTTTGACCTGTCACTGGGTGCGATACACAAATGTGATCCACCCTCGTGAATGTGATATCCATTAATGGATTCACATGAGAAGGGATGACGCTAGTTGAAGCTAGGCATCACGACGTCTCAGAAGGACGTCAGTTGCGATCTTAAATCTCTAGATTTAAGCTCATGCGACAGGATACGCTTCTAAAGAGTCGCGTATCCGATCTATATATATATAGCCAATCAGTAGTTAAGCATATATTTAGTTATAATTAATTAAATATAGCTCAGTCTTGAATTTGCTAACACCAAAGCACCACGCACGAGAAGCTATAAAGCTTCTGCGTGACGTCGGTGCCTTCTTGTCTTAACAGTTCGTTGCACTCTCGCTTGAGCGAGAGGCAGCTGGTGGTACGACTTCTTAAGCAGTCGACCAACCTCCCAACCACCCTCGCACGCGAAGGTAAGACGGTATAACCGCTTCATCACTTGTGCATAAGGTGTGTGTTAGTAGTACGAGGCAACTTCGTTGAAGTGCTCGTCTACAGTGGTGCTATACTGCATGGTATTCCAACAGCCGATGATGAGCTTGTCTGTCACGAGGCAAGCGCTCACGCGATGTGGTCGCGCTTTCTCGATAAGCAATTCAAGAGAGAGTATGTGAATCACATTTTGCACGACAACTGCTGTATGCAAACAAGTATACGCATGATAGAAACATGAATGATTGGCTACGTGAGATGGTACTTCAGTGGAATGAGCTGCAACATTACCAAAACGTCCTCCTTAATGAAGAGTTAGCCGAGATAATTGTAAGCAGTGAGTTTCAGACACATCGTGAGGTTGTTAGGCAATTCTTTAAGCATTACGACTTTGTGATTCAGCGTTTGGCTCCGTCGTCGGCACAAGTGATGAATGCTCTTCGAGCAGAATCGGAGCTGGATTCCCGAAGCAGCGAAACACAAATACCCAATATCTGTGCTGCTCAAACTGAGCCAAACAAACGGCTACACAGACATATTCAGAAACCCTGGAAAGAGAAGCGACGAGGTCGAAGTCAATATAAGGCCCATGGCAGAAACCATTACCAGAAGTCGGGTGAAGGTAGTGGCAAGGCTTTAACAGTAAAGAAGTATCATGGAGACAATCGTGAATGCTGGAACTGTCATGAAAAGGGCCATATCCAGCGAGATTGCACACGTCCGAAGTACGCCATAGATAATTCCAAGTCGCAACTTTCGGAGCGGAAACGCTGGGAAAATAGAAAGCAGAGTAAATGCCAATTTGGGAACAGAAGAGAAGTTGCCATGCTGTCGCGTCAAACGGATGATACTATCAATGCTGTTAAGAAGGATACACGTGATATGACCATTGCATGGGTCCTTGATTCAGCAATTTATTGTCATGTATGCACGCATAAGGAGATTCTGATGAATTTGCGATTCAATGATGGACCGATGGTGTTTGAATGGGAAGGCAAAGCTTCTCAATGTACAGAACAGATTGGAGAAGTGGAACTTAAATTAAGGAATGATACTTCCCCTCATACTATGAATCTCCTTTCTTTATCAAACGTTCTTTTTTCACCGACTGGAACAACAAATTTGTTAAGCTTGGATAGGCTGGAACAAGATGGATGGAACTTTCTCAAGCTCAAGCAAAGCAATGCGCTTGGCTGAAAAGGGTGATTTGCTACTGCTGTTAGTAGAAAATCATGGTCGTTATCGCCTCATATCCTTAGCTGTCTCGGTGAGCCAAGTGAAGTCTCTTTCACATGCCAATAAGCGAGCTTTCTCGTTATGGCATACCCGCCTTGGTCACATAAATTATGGGGCCTTGCAACGGATGATAAGAAGCAATACAGTGCATGGTTTAGCCATGACTGGTAGCGTTCGTACCCCGAGAAACCGATGCTGGACATGTATCCAATCACGTATGCAGCGAATGTCCTACAAAAACTTAGTAACTACACGGTCGACAGTACCATATCAGAAGCTAAGATCTGATATGTGCTACATTGGTGTGGGTTACGTATGACGGGTATAAACACTTCCAGATCATTCAAGATGAGGCAACACGTTACGTATGGGGATTTTTACTAAAAGAAAAACGAGAGGCTACTACTGTAGTCATTTCTCATTTGGCATGGCTTATTGCACAAGGCCATCACATTCAAGTGTTTTCCACTGACCAAGGAAGGGAACTTGTGAACCGACAATTGAAACAGTTTCTTCGCCAACACGGAGTGGAATTTTGTGGACTATGCGTATAGCCCACAGGAGAATGGCTTAGTTGAACGGATGAACGGCAAGTCCAGCGCAGGCTGAGATGGGGTCGTGTCGTGATCGAACGGCAAGTCCAGCACAGGCTGAGATGGGGTCGTATGCTGGTTAAAACGTTCAAACACTCGAGACGTATGTCTTCGAAGCGGTCCCATGTGGGACACGCGGCGTCTACAGACGCATAGTACGTCGGCGGCCATTCTCTGTACATACCATCGAGCTTAAAAATGGCTATATCAACTCGTTGTTGCTCTGACCTGAGGGTAGTGGCATTCACCGCCATTTTCACCTCTCGGATTCAGAGAAGAAGGTAAACCCCTCTTTCCTCTCGAAAGTCTATAAGCTTAGGGGAATCGGACGAGCCTTTCAATCATCATCGGGCACCGGGATGTAATGCGGAGGCACAGCTGACGCTGAATGATTTTGAACATGCCTGATCTGCGACGGCAAGCATAGAACGCCCCCACCCAGAGATCGCAAGTTCTTTTCCTTGTCCGTTCCTCGTCCTAGTAGCCGGTGCGTTCGTCGAGTGCGATTCCAATCTACAATTCGATAATGTAGACGGGCACTTCTACGAAGTTGCCTCGTACTACGAGCACACACCTTATGCACAAGCGAGGAAGCGGTTATACCGTCTTACCTTCGCGTGCGAGGGTGATTAGGAGGTTGGTAGACTGCTTACGCAGTCGTACCACCACTTGCCTCTCGCTTAAGCGAGAGTGCAACGAACTGTTAAGACAAGAAGGCACCGACGTCACGCAGAAACTTTATAGCTTCTCGTGCGTGGTGCTTTGGTGTTAGCAAATTCAAGACTGAGCTATATTTAATTAATTATAACTAAATATATGCTTAACTACTGATTGGCTATATATATATAGATCGGATACGCGACTCTTTAGAAGCGTATCCTGTCGCATGAGCTTAAATCTAGAGATTTAAGATCGCAACTGACGTCCTTCTGAGACGTCGTGATGCCTAGCTTCAACTAGCGTCATCCCTTCTCATGTGAATCCATTAATGGATATCACATTCACGAGGGTGGATCACATTTGTGTATCGCACCCAAGTGACAGGTCAAAAGTAATCATGGATACTTTTAGACCAAACATTAAGTATATTACTTAATGTTTACGTGTAACTAGATGCCCTGTTACACCATCCCCCGTTTAAAACGATTTTTACATCTTGTAAAACATCGCCTATGAGACAGAGAGACTGGCGAGCCGTTATAAACGCGCCGCTTTAGTCTACTCAATTCTCATTCCACCGAAACGTGGTAAGGCTGATGGGTCGCCTGCAAAGGCACCCATGCAGTCCAGCACTAAGCGCACGCGCCGCGCTTTATCGCATCCGTCGCAAAGTGCTTCAGGCACTGAGTGTGAATCTTCCATCTCACTATAATGTGGATGAAGATCCATCTCTCATCGTAGATTACAATGAGACTACGCCATTGCCATCACCCCAAAGTGGAGATGAGCATAGTGCATTGATGGGACATATGTCTCCATCATTTGAGGCACCCGTCCTTGAGGAAGCATCTATGCTTCCTACAAGCGAAGGCAAAACCCCGTCGTCTGCGCCTACGAGCGCAGAGACTAAGACTGAGCACGCTACTTCGAAAGAAGTAGTCGCGACTCAGTCAGATGTGACTCCTCAAGCTGATGTCTTGACAATCCATAATGGAGAGTCGGACTCAGGTGAGTGTGAGCTGAAAGCTCCACCAAGTACACCTTCGGCCTCACTAGCCCGCCGTCGCGAGGGCGGCTACGTGAGTTGTGGCTTGCCACCAATGCCACCTCCATCTGAGTGGATGAACTCGGATGGGTCTAGCGCTTTTGCAGCGTGCCACTATAGACGCTCATAGATTCTATAGCGTCTTTCCTTTGTGGAAAAAGCAGGGCAAAGCACTTGGTCGTTTTTTCCCAATTCCAGTCGTGCTGCGTTCTAACGAAACAGCCGACGACTATGAAGCTGAACTTCGGCGCCGTGTTACCTTGCATGAAGATGCAACGAAACAACGGTCGCAGCGAATCAGCTTCGCCATGAAGCGTGCGCATGAAATTATGGGCGGTAAGCGACCCCCAATTAATTCTCGCCACGCTTCTTCTGCTAGTCCTTCCGGACCTAGCAGAAAGACGACAGCTAGTGCTGCTTCACATAAGCAGCCACCAGCCCAGGCACTTCAACGCGCAAAGCGTCCACAAGCTCCCACGAGTCAAAGCTCGTTGGGTAACCCTTCCACTGGACAAGGATTTGGAGCTTTCGCTTCACAAAACGGTGGGGCAACAGCCTTCCAACAAGGAAGCGCGTATTCCCTTCAGTGTCCACCAACACCGGTGGCGCCCGATAGGAGTGGCGATTACGCCCACCTACTCGCGGCTGCCTACCCTGCTGCTGTTCAGTCGCAGGCTGAGTCTGCTGCGCTGAAGAGGCAGGTGACAGATCTCGAGAGTCAAGTCTCGCGACTGACCTCGGATCTGCACGATGTGAGGGCGAGGGATCGTCAGGGGTATGACCGCCTGAAGACCCGCTTGGACATCTTAGAGCGATTGGTGATGATAGACCCGCGTCAAGCGCGGAGTCCTCCTCGATCACCGAGTCCTCTATCGCCTCGTTCATACACGGGGAGCCTCTCGGCTTCCTCTTCGCCGGATCGGTCGCGACGCTCGACTCACAGTCGACGTCACCATCGGTCTCGTTAGACCGATGTGGATATGTGATCTCTTCTGGATCTACATACCGTTTCAGACGACCCACGTAAAATACGGGGTGCACCTTCATATACGGTGGGAGAGTGAGCCTATAATATAGGTCTCCAAACTCCTCGACCACCGTAAAGGGCCCAATGAATCGGGGCAATAGCTTAGTAGTACCACCAGGTAGTACATAGATTGCATTATTAGGTGGGGTAGCAGTACTTAATAGCACTTTGTTCCCAACACTAAAGTGCTCATTGTTTTTGCAAACATGCTGGTCCGCATATTGTTTTTGCTTGTCCTGTGCGCTTGCCATCGCGTCACGGACTTTACGTGTGATGGCTAATCGCTCATCCACAAAGTGCTGAGCGTCGCTCACGCTTTTTGCATCCAGCTCGCCTATGACGCCTCCAAGAGGTCGTGCATGGGTCGACGCTGTTGATAACACTATAGTGTCATCCTCAAGGAGCGCTGGCATTTCTTGCCGTGCCTCCTCTGTGACACCTATAGGTGACGTGACCACTGCTAAATTAGCAGTGTCACTAGGGCAACCTTGGCCCTTTTTGGCATTTGCACCGAGCGAAGTGAGGGGCCCTCCCCCACTAAGACTCGGGCTGCGTACAAACGAGACTGGCGTTCGAGGATGACGCAGTCCGTTAATTTAAAACGGTGATTCACCCGTACTGGCGTATACACTGTTATTAATAGCAAATTCCACGAATGGCAATTGCTTGGTCCATTCTTTGGGAGTCGCTATTGTACGCAACACATCCGCCACGACTCGATTGGCCCGTTCTGTTTGGCCATCGGTCTGGGGATGGTCAGCGGTTGACATTTGTAGCTTGCTACCCAGCAGCTCGAACACATGTCGCCAAAACCCGACGTAAAACGCGGATCCCGGTCCGATAGAATGGACTCGGGCATCCCGTGTAGTCGATACACGTGATCCAGGAACAAGAGGGCAGCCTCTTTTCCTGAGATCTTGGTGCTACATGGTGCCAAATGCACCATCTTGCTCAGTCTGTCGACAAAGACGACGAGCCCCGTCCTGCCTTTATGGTCAGGCGGTAATCCAAACATGAAGTCCAAACTGACCGACTTCCAACATTCAGTTGGAATCGGCAGTGGCTTCAGTGGCACACTGTTTGAAGGTGCAGGCTTTATGCGCTGACACTCTTCACAAGAGCGAATATAGTTGGCCACCCACCGATATAGGTGGGGCCACCAAAATTCCTCTGAAACTCGTAAGAATGTCTTTTCACGGCCCAGATGCCCACTAGATGGCGCATCATGGCACTCGTGAAGTATCATCAGCTTGAGATCTGTGTCATGAGGGACATAGATTCTCAAGGGATCACAGGGTGACAGTTGATGCCATAATAGGCCATCACTGTAACTAAAGCGATTTAACTTCGCTTTGAGGTGCGACGGAAGGGTAACCT